CCATTTTTTACATTCCCTCGACACTCCAATTTCATCTACAACAGCGCATTCATTTACCTTCACTTTTTAGGAAAAAAACCCGCCCACCTGGATTCGGAGCTGCGCTACAGCAGAGACGCTGTAAATCGGCGCAAATCTTTATTCTCCCCCGGAATTGCATCAACCTCTCACATTTATACCGATCCATCTCAACAAAACAAATACAAAAGGCCTTCCAACACTGCGACCTCAATACAATCCCGCTCGTTGAGGATTCCTCAACCGACGGTGCGGCCTGGGTAACTTCTTAATTCTGGCACTGAGTCTCACACACCAGACCGCAAATAGCTTACGCATTTGTTTGCAATCGCTTTCTATTTTGATGCAGATGGCTCTCGGGTAACACTCAGTTTTCTAGCAGACGAGGGAGCTTTCAAGCGGAACCTTTGTTCCTTAACGGACAGCGCCCGTTGCCGGCACCTCATCTATGTTGCTGATCTAGCCTTGAAATTTCTTGCGTTACATCTTTTCCAGATATTGCCTACGAAGGTGAATGCTATTTTCTCTACACTGACCCCTGGCGAGAAGGAGATGTCATCTACTGCTTTGAAAGCGAGCCGATACAGGATTCCCAAGACGACCGTAGTTTCAATGGGAATCTATTCGCAATTGATTTAGCACGCAAAGAGGTTAATATTTCTCATAATATGACATCATAATCCAAGCGCTATCCTTTCTTTCAGATTCGCACTGTACCGCCCAAGTTCCCATTTGCACCAGCGATGAGCAGAGATAAAGGAATCGTACATGTGATGGGAGTATTCCACAGACCAGGTCATCTGTGGGTGATCAGCCAGAATACCAAGCAGATAGCTACTTTAAGCGTCTGGAGGCTTGACGATGACGGGTAACTCTTCATATTTCGATTAGATCTCATAAATAGATACCTTCACTGATATTAAAGCTGGCACGAGATTACCACTGTGGACAACCACGAGTACGAGGTCACGATGGATGTGTGTGCCGATGGCAGTGCTATGGTAGTGCTCGAGGACGAGGTCAATGGTAGTCCCATAATGCGAAATATTCGATGCCGGTAAGGTTTTCCTACGGCAAAATATTGAGTTGGAAAAAAGTACTGCGACACTTCCATCAAACCGCTCCAGAAAAAAAAATCAAAAATAATTATGAATGTCTTCACCCCGGGTTAGTGGAGTGTCTCTGAGAATTCTGCTGACGGGTATATTATGATCTGTGGAAGCTTTCAAAGCTTAAAAGTTTCCAAAAGGTCAAGGTACTTCTCGACCTATCCCATATTATGAGTTCCTCTAGGGTCATTCCGCCGTAGTCGAGGGAACTAACAACTGCACTGTCTTCGTGAAGGATGCGGCTTGCCATGCGACTGGGTCTTATTTGTACTTGCGCTTGCATGCTGGAGTTATTTTTTTACAAACGTGGGCAGTATAGGCCGACCACCCGCACAGAATGACGGCCGTTTGCTCGACTCCCAGGAGGCGCAGCAGAACGTGACCACCCGTGAGATCTCTTGGCTGCACCTAATTGTAAGTGGTAACTGCCATGCTTTCCCGCAATCCCGGTTATAGGGGGAGTATCCTGTAAAGGATGCCACATGAGTTGCACGTATGACAGAGCGGCAACGCTCCCAACCGAAATCATACACTCGTGAGCGTCGTATCTCCCTTGCCCTCTTTGTACTGCCATTTGGCAGGCCACCCTTTTCGGCGCCCACACCATCTGCGCTTCGAGTCAACCGAGAGGTGAGTTTTCTTGCCGTAAACCACAAATCACTTTCACCTCACAAGACCGCCTGCAAGCCGAGAACAGTCGTCATCTACCCTGGACTACAAAGCGCAGAAGTGCACTAAAAAAGATCTCCACCTCGCTCAGCCCGCGTACATACATGCGCACCGGATTAACCACTGTGGTTGCTCGTTACGCCCCCCTCCCCCCCGCCCCCCCCCCCCCCCCCGCCAGCTGTCGGGCTCCACCCCCCCCCCCCTCCCTCCCCCCCACCACCGTCACTCTAGCGCCTAACTCTCCCCGTCCCGACGACCTTCCCCTCTTCTCACACCCCAACAACCACCTTTTCCCAGGGCGTCAAGCTTCGGTATCCCCAGCGCCTAAGTTTAGACGCCAAAAACCCTCCCTCTCTTCCTCAGACCGCCTCGCCCCCCCCCCCTCCCCCCCCTCCCCTACCCCCCATTCCCCCCCTCCCCCCCCCTCTTTCCCCAGATAATCCAGACGCGGGTCACCTACTTACCCCGCCCCCACACACTCACCCCCGCGACAAGAATCCACCGCACGCTCAACAACCCGGAGCAAAGCAATTTCCTTCACACGCCGCGCCCCAGTCCTCTCATCTCACACAGCCACCCTCAACCCGCACCCGCCCGCCATCCCCAACACGCCACCCCCAAATACCCGCCATCCCCCCCCAGCGAAAAAACTTCCCGCCCGCCCCCTCCGCTCTTCACACCAGCGATGCATGTACCCCTGTGGTCCCTGGTGTCTATTGGCTACGGTCTACTCTAAACAGCTTCAGAATACGCTAGACGTTACGCCTGATTTCATTCAGAAGCACTCAACTTCTTCCTACTCTTCCGCAATGCGAAGTCCTAATGTGGCGAAAAGACTACGCCAAAAAATCATGGATCTCGATCAGAGAATGCGACCGTACCCAGCTTATTTATCAAAGTTAGCAGCCTCTAATTACCACCTCCTTTGATCTGTACCGCATCCTCTAGAAAGTAAAAATTGTGAAAATCAATGCCTACTCATAGATGAGATCCGCCTCTTCCTTTCATCGTAGTTTCTATAACTCTACGACGCTGAACTCGAGAATCTGTGAGGGACGTGGACCTTGTCTTGGCGGTGTCGTTTAGTGAAGGAAAATTTGGCCCGAAATTTCGGTAAAAATGTCGCAGGACTTTTTTCCAACCTACGTTCCCATGAGACTGACATTTCTATTTAGGGGAGTTCCAAGTCTGTATTCATTGGCGCGTACCAGCACTCTCAAACATCTTCCCGGAACTTCGATGCGACTCATATTTCACTCCAGTTGTTTTCACAGCGATTGTTCAAATAACAAACCATAATTTAATCTTCAAGTAGCTTATTAATAAAGATTCACGCTGAGAAAGAAGTCGAGACAACATACGTTGCAATGAATATAACGAATATTTGAAATATATTCAATATAAAATCTGAGATCCACAACAATAAGTAAGCACTTCCTAAATATCTTAAACACTGATTAAGAGCAGTTTGAGTAATAGTTAGTCTGTTAGTTCAGAAAGATGACTTAAAGCTAGATAGGTAAGTTTCACTTGTTAGGCCTCGATTCCTATTATAAAAAAATCTCAAGGCATTAATCATGTATGGAAAGCACGCTCATGTCAAGAGGCGGTTCCGGGCACTCAGTGACGCTCATATCGAGAGGTTCCTGTGAATCGGCCTCCTTGACGCTATCCGTCAGCGAAGTCCTTTCTTTATAAAGCTGTGCCAGTATGCGCATCACCTGGACAACAATACTAGAATTAAATCTTAGTGATTTTAAGGAACTTGTCTTACCTCGCCATGCTTCACACCAGGCCCCTTATGTTTACCATAATTTTCCTTCACAAATTTCGCAAAAGGATTCAACTCTGACGAATCACCAGCAGCCATTCCTTTTTTCGTACGTGTACGCGCTTGGAGAGTGAAGCGGCTCTTGCAGATACCACATATCATCCGATCAATGTTTAGTGATTTACTATGACGCTTCACTCTGAAAAAAAAAACCACAATATGTCAGTTTATTTCAAGCGATGTGAAATGATTCTGAAGCCTATCGTTAAC